CCCCATAATAACCCCCAGAACGCCTCCTATAACGATACCCAAAAACAGGCCCCCAAGTCCCCAAAAGAGCCCCAAATCCCCCAAAGGGTCTCAAAACCCCCCAGACCGGCCCCAATGACCGCCTGCCATCCCTGCAGAGCTCCGCCTGCTGCCCTCCGCCGATGACTTCCCCCACAAGACCCCAAATCCTCCCCCCAGGATCCCCAACCCCCCTCAAAATCTCCCGGAAGACCCCAAGTGGTCCCAAAATCCCCCAATTTCACCCCAAATTCCCCCCCCTTTCCCACAGAGCTCCTCCTGCCGCCCTCCGCCAACGTTTTCTACGCCATGAGCGGGCAGAGCTGCGACTTCGCACTGCGGCCGCGCGGACCCCAGCCCCAATAAAGGCGTTACGGCGTCAGACGGCGTTCAGTGGGGCTTTGGGGGGGATTTGATGGGATTTGGAAGGATCTCATGGGATTTCTTGGGGTTTTGTGGGATCTCGTGACGTTTTGGGGGCGTTTCATGGGATTTCGTGGGGTTTCTTGTTTTTTTTTGGAGGGGGATTTCATGGGATTTGCAGGGGGGTTGCGGGATTTCGTGGGGGGCTGCGGGGTTCGGAGCGTTTTTTGGGGTGGGTTCACGGGGTTTCGTGGGGACGGGGCGCCCGTTTTGGTGCCCAGCTCCACGGAGCCGATCCGGCTGGGGGCTCGTACCGAGGGGAGCCCAGGGGGGCGCTGCTGGGCCTCGTGCGGTTGAACGGCGTCCTGCATCAGGCGGAGGAGGGCAGCGAGCGCAGCAAATCGGGGGCGGAGGCCCTGCGGGGAGCCTGGATGAGCCGGGCTGAAGGAAGGGCTGAGGCCGGAGGCTCGGCGCTGCACTTGGGCCGTCGTCACCCCGTGCTGCGGGGAGGAGCGGGAGCCGGGGTTTGGGTTGGAGCCCTCAGGACGAAACAAGAAGACATCGAGGCGCAGGGAAGGGCAGCGATGCCGTCGGGGGGCTGCAGCGCGACGGGGCCGCTTGGGGAGCCGGGGTTGTTCAGCTGGAGGCTCAGGGGAGACCTGAGCGCGCCCTGCGGCTCCCTGAGGGGAGGCTGCGAGCAGGAGGGGTTCGGGCTCTGCTCCCAGCGACGACCAGGAGCGGAGGAAGCGGCCTCGCGTCGTCGCAGAGGTTGGGGTCGAACAGAGGAGGAGCTTTTTTGGCGCAGAGGTGCCGGAATGGCGCACAGGGAGGCGCCTGGCAGCGGGCAGGAGGCGGGGTGAGGAGCTGCGAGCTGCGGGGTGGTGCTTAGCGCGGCCAATGGGGACTGGAGGATGCTGCAGGTCCTTCCCAGCCTCGTGGTTCTGTGACTCGATAACCCACTGGCATCCCGCGTTACCGCTCGGATCTTCCAACTTGCCTCCGTGCCCGAGGTCCCCTCCCATCTGACTGCTGGAGGGAGATGCTGCTGGGCTGCACGGGACGAGGAGCCGACCCTCACCGCGCATTGCTGTTCCGGGAGAACGGGAAGCTGAAAAGGGGAAACAAAAAAACCAAGTTAACAGACATAAAGCGCACAACAACAAGAAATAAGAATACTTCAAAAAGAATCTACAAAAACAAGAGGATAAATAACAATACTTTAAAGAGAATAGTTATAAGGAGAAATGGGAATATTAGCTTAAAAGCCCCCCAGCAACCTATCTGAATGGAGGGGGGGAAGCAATGGATGCCATTTGCGTCCATTTGCAGCTCCGGGC